AATCATGGAGTGGTGGATGCATAGGTCCACATATTCTTGACCGCTGCACTAGTGTGAGATGAGCGGTCAGTTTCACGCACTGGCTGCTTTACCCCAGGTACCCATTGGATGGGTGTCTGGGCGGGCCCCAGCACCGGTCTGGACGACATGGAGAGGAAAAAAAATCTTACCCCTACCGGGACTCGAACTCTGACCCCTCTGCCGTCCAGCCCGTAGCCAGTCGCTATACCAACTGCACTATCTCACTATCTGTATCTGTGAATAATGATGCGATGGTAACAAATGTTCAGAGATGTTTCAGACTTAAATTAAGCTGTAACAAATAATCATATTCATTCTTCAGTGCCTCTGCAGCGTTTCTGTTGGATGCTGACCTCTTCTTCAATTTCGTAAACTTTTTTACACAGACGGTAGGACTCCTTGGACGAGTGATCAGGCCGTCGCAAGGCCCGCTACCTACACAGGCCGATACTTACATACATACGATATTCATCAATCCAAGCGTATGCTTGCACCTCAGGTGTGTGGTTCCTTGAAGAGACCGCGACGGTCTCGTACGTAATAAGATTGGATCTCATGACTTTTGAATGCAAGGCTGGGGCAAGCAGCACTCAGCTCGCTCCGGAAATAACAGTAAAGAGGTCCAGAAGCTTTTAATGTTGGACTCAGTGTTACCCAGTTTGGGGACATCGTAAATAAAGCAAATGTTCAGGTCCCGCACACAGGCACGCACAAAAAGCTGTTCGGTTTTATAGGGCACTCGGATGTCTCCCACTGCAACTGGTTCCCCATCTTCCTCCCCACACCAGGGATGTACACACCTCGTAGCATTAACAGCTAGCCAGCTCTCTCCCGAACATCAGGTGTCCTGAGAACAAAACATGAGGGTGGGGAGGTGTGCTATTTGGTACACGTCATCGGTCTTGGTGTTTTCTAACTCAGAATTAACGCGGTTGCTGCAGATAGTACAGGGCACAAAATGAGATTCTTTTGCTTTTTTTTTTCTTTTCCTCGGCACTACAGCCACAGTGGGCCTAGGCCTACATCCATGAACGTCTCCATTCACTTCGGTTTTTCTACATCGTACACATTCGATAGGACTTCTTGGGCGGGTGATCAGCTGGTCGCAAAGCCTCTACCTGTACACAAACACAGAAAAACGCATACATACAAACTGAACATCCATGCCCTCAGTGGGATTCAAACCCACGATCCGGGTTTCCTAGCGAACGAAGACAGTACATGACTTAGACCGCTCGGTTACCGTGACCGGCATTCTTTTGCTTTACTTCGTTAAATATTCGTCGTCCTTCTCATCCTCCTCCTCCTCCTCCTCCTCCTCCTCATCATCATCATCATCATCATCATCATGAACGGTCATAACTGCAAGGTTTAGGCCTGTTGACCTGTTCCGATGTTCTGCTTAGACAAAGTGATCTTTCGTTTCAAACTGCTTCAGCGCACACATACACACAAACACACACTAGAGTCCACAGTCATGTTTTTAGTAGCAGTTGCTCGGTATCGGCTTCAACGGTGGACGTTCCCCTTCCTCTGGTTTCCCGTACTATCCCCGTGCCTCAGCAACAGATCACAACGACTGAACCGCAACACATCTCGGACTGTCTCGCCAATTGACACCTCAAGTGACTTCTTCTAGACTTGTCCTGTTTATAATATCTCGGCAATGACCGCGTAGAAAACACTGCTTCTCATTATTGTTGTATTCAGTTGTTGCAGTGGAAATATGCATGTCTGCGAACGGCTTCCTCTGCTGGCTTCACAGTTCTTGCTTTGAACAAATATACGTATATACACATATAAATGTTCGCCACCCTCCTCGATGTTTCTTTTCGTTACACTGCTCTCACTTAATGTACTCTATCCCTTCTATTTCTTCCCCTTTATGCCGTAGGTCTTTCTCCATTTCACGTCACACTTTTCCTCTTCTCTTCTTTTTCTGTTTTTGTATTTCCCAGTCATAATTTCTCGTTCATGCCTTTCCTCTGCACTTGTCCCCCTCTTGCCGCAGGCGTCTGTCTATGAAATATCGACACAGGTCCCCAGAGCCCCGTTTCGCAGAGGTCAGTAGATGGAACCAAATGGCACGCACTGAACTTTGAGCGAGATCTGCTCTTATTATTGTCTGTGCAAATGTTAACAGCACTGTCACCGCACATCGCAACGCATAACGGGCGGAACAACAAGGTGTAACACTTCAGACTTCACATGACGTAATTCTACAGTTCTTACGTCTATCATAAGGGGGAAAGTGGAAGTGAACGTTCTTCTTTTCAGAATTTTGGTTGATGTACAGTAGAAGACTGGCTGATAGGTAAGAAGTTTTTAAATTAATCTTATACGAACGCGCTGTATGGTCATGGACTGGAATAATTTGCTTAGGTTAGGATTATATGGTAGTCTTCAGTGAATATGATAATGAATCTTAAAGCTACACAAAAGGCGGTTAATTTCTTTACTAGCTGAACCAACTTTTCAATGAAAGCCTTACAGCAGAAGAGTCAGATTAACATAATTGCTAGATTAGTCTACTCTTCAGACCCCCAGTTACATTTGTCCGAAAACAAACGCGAAAAGTAATTGTGCAGTGCATGCATTTAACCCAAAGTATAATTAGAATGATCAAGTGAAGGAGGATGAGGTGGGCAGGTCATATAGCACGAATGGGGGAGACGAGGAATGCGTATAGGATACTGGTGGGAAAGCAAGAAGGAAATAGACCACAGGGAAGACCAAGGCATAGGTGAGTGGATAATATTAGAATGGATCTTAGAGAGATAGGATGAGATGGTATTGATTAGATACATCTCGCTCAGGATAGGGACCAGTGGAGGACTCTTGTGAACACGATAATGAACCTTCGGGTTCCATAAAATGCTGGGAAGTTCTTGAGTAGCTGCAGATTTGGCGGTTCCTCTAGAAGGGCTGAGTTTCATGAGTAAGTAAGGCATTTAACCGGTAACCAGTGCTGTGATCTCCAGTCACGTGGCTACTGTCCGACTGCTATTTGAGATCCGGTCATTAATTAGATGTAAACTTACTAGCACCTTCCGATATGTGTGTGTTCAGACTACAGGATTTTTTTTTATTTACATAATGTTAGCAATCAGAATTACATGATTCTGTAAGCTAATTTGCTCTCTTATATTTCTTGACGTGGAGAGGGCTTATCCAGAGAGAAGTCCTCGTTACCCCTCTCTCAGGTCGGCTGGCCAATTCCTACAGGAAATTAAAGTCTATATGCTAGTATCTAGTAACATTTAGGGCCCAACCACTATTTACAATCTCTATAGTACAATCTCAGTACCACTGCCTAATAAAATATATACATTACATATCTGAAGATTATGTGAGCCGGGATAGCTCAGTCGACTAAGCGATGAGATACGGGCTAGACGGTCGGGGTTCGATTCTCGGTATAGGTAAGAGATTTTTCTCTATTTCACAGCGTCCAGACCGTTTCTGGCACCCACCCAGCCTCCTATATAGTGGGTACCGGGAGCTTTTTCCCCAGGGATAAAGCGGCCAGGGCATGAAGCTAACCACTCACCTCTACCTAATGTCGTGGTTAAGAATGATGGGCTGTACCTCCACTCCCCATACACCTTCACTGCATAATGCTTAATTAATTAAGCACAATGATAACTTTACCTTCTTACCTCATATGAAGACCATGAAGAGTGTGTAGTGAGTACCAGCAAATTGCGTGGTGTGGAAATCTGAAAAGTTAATTCTAACTTTCAGTTCTGTTTGTGAACAGCGAAACAATTCCGGTTGGAAACCGGAAAGAAGTTACGATTCTTTCGAACTTAGCACTACCTGGTAACACAGAGAAATAGCTATTGCTACTGGAGGAAGAGTGTAGCCTCTCTCTCTTATTCAGAGGCTTCGTGAGGATGGTGACCGGGTATTGCAGGCAACGAAATGCAGGCAGCCGGTCACGGTAGCCGAACGGTCTAAGGCATGCACTGTCTTCGCTGGCTCGGAAGCCGGGATCGTGGGTTCGAATCCCGCTCAAGGCATGGATGTTTGTGTGCGTTTTTCTGTGTTTGTGTACAGGTAGAGGCCTTGCGACGAGCTGGTCACTCTCCCAAGGAGTCCTACCGTATGTGTAAGATCTAGTAAACCGAAAAGTGAACGGAGTTCATGGAGGTAGGCCTAAGCCCCCTGGGGCTGTAGTGCCAAGGAAAAAAATGCAGGCAACTAGCAGCGAATGGATTAGTAGTCATGCATAAAGTGGCATATGTCAAGAAATTAATTTCGGGAGAGGCAATTTTTTTAGAAACTACGTGGTGTTACATCTTTATTGAGGGTCTGATAGTTACTCAAAAGGTCAAGAAATGTCCTTCCATGAAACCCAATTATCCACTACCGTGATCACTGAATATTTCCGTTGGATGACATACTGAATCAGTCCAGTCGTACTCGTCTCTTCATGCCATGTTTCTCCAAGTCTCATTTGAATATGCCTCCCAGACTGTTTCGTCCGTTCAGGAAATTCAGCTAAATTTAGCATGGACTTACCTCGTTGTGCAGGACCGCGCCATAGCTCAAGCGGTTAGTCGCTGGCTTCCAACCGTGGTGGCCCGGGTTAGATCCTGGGTCTGATCAAGTGGAATTTGTTGTGTACAAAGTGGCGCTGGGGCAGGTTTTCTCCGAGTACTTCGGTTTCCCCTGCGAATCTTCATTCCACTAATAGCTCCACAATCACCCTCATCAATCATCTGGGGCTGGTACAATAGGCCAGAAGTGGCCGCAGTACAAGGTACTTAGTCCCACCCCACTAGCAATAAAAATACTTCGTTGTGTAAGTTTCAAATCTTGGGATAATACGTAATTTGAAGCAGGTCACAGTCGCTTTTCCCTCATACCTTATTTCACCAGACATGCCATTTTTTCTCTTATTCAATGCCAAATAATCTCTACAGTTGGAAAACGTCGTGTAATAAGGAACCCAACCTGTGTATGGCGTGTTGCAGGAGGGCATGGGACAACTACGGATAGTAACAGGTGGCATACAGCTTAGTGGCCAGGCCATGGTACTCGATGCTCTTCTGGCGTCAACAATCCGCTCCAGGAGAGGGCAGCCGATCACTCTGGAATCCAGCCGCAATTTCACGATCAACACGAGGGATGAAGATGGCCGAATCGTTAACAGAATATTCTTGGGTGAGTCATAGTACCTGTGCGCCTGCAAGATTTTCCTGGGATAAAAAATGTCACAGGATTTATGATCAGAATTTTTATCCGATATTCCTTAAAAATCGGGAATGTTGTATTGACCATGAGTCTCGTTTTGTGATTGTCTTTCTTTCGTATTTCGTAGCTTTCTTTATTCCCTTTCTCCTCTGAAGAAAATCTCGGATGATATAATGAAGTAGGACAAGCCTGACACTTTTTAAGAACTTTTAGCTTTCATTCATAACAGCGATACCATTTGTTGCAATATTCGCATGCAATGAAGAATGTTTTGTGAAATAAATCAAACAAACTTAGAGAGCTGTGAAGCTTGTGACCAGGAATTCCGCAGTATTCCTCGTTACTCCATGCGAATGCTCGAGCAATACCTTAAAATATTCAATGATGATCCCCCTTCGACATCCGACTCCATTTAGAATTCACAATTCACAACCAGAATTCTACAGCACGACTTCAATACTTCATGCAGCGTCGTAAAGTATTCTAATGAATAAAGACTTAACGGGCATTTTGAGTCTGCGCCATAGCTCAAAGGTTAGTCGCTGGCTTCCCACTGCATTGGCCCGGATTCAATCCCGGGTCTGGTCAAGTGGGATTTGTGGCGGACAAAGTGGCGCTGGGGCGGGTTTTCTCCGAGTACTTCGGTTTTCCCTGTCAATCTTCATTCCACCAAATAATCCATCATCATAATTATCACTCGGGGCAAGCTACAATAGGCGAATCAGTGGCCGCCGTGCCGAGTGGACCCAACTGGACTCCACCTCCCTCTAAGCGAATTTAATTACAGGCATTTTAACTCCTTTAAAAATAAACGCAAATCGCATAGTGCACTAACATTAGATCTTGTGACTCAACAAATGTGTCATTAAATAGTGCTTCCTGGTGAAGGAAATGAGACGTAACGAGCTAGAGAGCCTGTTCTTTATATATATTCTGTATGATCCCTGGCTCATAGCCTGCCTCGTTCTACGTAACTAAAGGCTTCTACCTACCGTTCTCCTCTTCCTTGTCGTTTAGTGTACCTTCATTCAGAGCCTAGCGATTTGTCGAGAATAAAGACGGCCTTGTACTCTTCTCCAAGTTTAGTTAGAATAATCAAGCCAAGGAGGATGAGGTGGTCAGGACATGTAGCACGAATGGGGGAGAAAAGAAATGCATATAGGATGTTGGTGGGAAAGCCAGAAGGAAAGAGACCACTGGGAAGACCAAGGCGTAGGTGGATGGACAGTATTAAAATGGTTCTTAGAAAGATAGAATGGGATGATATGGATTGGATTGATCTGGCTCAGGATATGGACCAGTGGAAGACTCTTGTGAACACGGTAATGAACCTTCGAGTTCTATAAAATGCTGGGAAATCCTTGAGTAGCTGCAGATTTAGCTTCTCCTCAAGAAGTGCTCAGCTCCATAAGTAAGTAAGCAAGTAAGTAACGACGACCTACGGCCGAGGTTAACATAACCAGCCCCAGGTGCAGCTTCATCTCCACGTCTCCGATATGCCTTCATGGGAAGAATATCTCTTTATACGTGTATTACAATACCGACACCCGTCGTACATTATTCACAGTGTAGGGCTGCGGATTGGAAGGTCGCAGTTCGATTCCTGGTAAGAACAAGAAATATTTATTTTCTCTGCTTCGTCAACAACTGTTCTGTTCTCCCTCCAGCCTCCTGGCTGATGGAGCGGTAAATCTGATGTTACGAATATGCGGAACTTTGTCTCCGATCAGAATATTAGCTGCAACTGAGGACAGGGTAATTGGCGAGCCACCCGAACAGTTTACATCCAGTCTGCTGGACCCAAGCAACATCTGGTCAGTAAGTGGAGCATGAAACATGCACAGTACAGGAAACAGCCCTGGCGTTGTTGGTACTTCGAAAGCTTCTCTTATTGCTACTTGCTGTTTGGTGATGCTGTGTCACAGGAAGGAAATGAAAGAAGATAGGAACAGAAAGACGGAGAGGCAAGGAGAATAAAAGGAGAGAAAAATGGAAAAAATACAAAAAACACACAGAAACGAAGAAGGAAGGAAAAAACAGAGAAAACCGAAAGAAACAGAAAGAGAAAACTGAAAGAAAAAGGACGAATGAAGTAAAGAGAGGAATGATAAAAGACGGAAAGGTAGAAAAGGAAGGAAGCGGCAACAATAGAAGAAAATAAATGAAGGGAAATTTTTTTGCATACTATGAAGGAAGAAAAACGTCGAAATAGTTGGCTAGCCTGTTATTATAATAAGTATCGTCGTCACTGTGTAATAATGTAAAGCTCTGTGTATACATATCTGCGACCCTAGCTGGAGGCAAATGATCTGCTTCACGCTCCATCTGCTTTACTCCTGGGGAATGATTTCTCTGTGTGCATAGAATGGAGCCTCGTCTGGTGGCAGACGTGATGATGAAAAAGAAAATCCTTTCCTTGCTAGACATAGAACCTCCAGTCTTCTAGTCCGCAGTCAGTACTTATACTCCTACTGACCGACATTTCACTCCTCAGGTGTGTAGTAAAATTACTGATAATAATCTTAAGCTTTCCATTCTGCAACCTTTTTCTGTTACTATATTTCCGTGATCAAGTAAAACACTTTCTCCTTAGTCCTGATGATGGAAGTGGGTCAGTTTTCCGAAACGCTGTGTATATTAACTGTACTTCAGACAGTGGACAGTCCAACATAATATTCATGTCATAGCTTCTATCGTTGTAAACCCACAAATAATTACACGTATATTTAAGAGTTGAGACATGTTTCTTTCGCTGATCTCAAACATCAAATAGGCGTATTCCCACAAACAGAAAAGAAAGGCCTGTGAAGGCTGTGGTTTTTTCCATGTTGTTTAGTAGATTATTACCAACGTTTCAGATATACATCTTGCTTCCGAAACGTCAATAATCATCTACCAAACTAAGCATGTTCTCCCCAAACGCTTGTAATCGTCTCAGCGACAACATGGCGTCACGCCATGCAAAACCTCAGTCTTAATAGTGTTACCACCGGCAGAACTGATTGATCGTTTGTATCAAGGACAGTGTCTCTTTGTGGGGGAGTCTTGTGCGCGTAATAAAAAAAGTGCACTGGGCCTATATTCTGTAATGTTCACTGTTGCAGGTAATGACCGCTTGGAGTGCCACACAAGAGGTTTCCGTGTCACAGACACGAGGGGCACTGTTCTTTTCTCTGCCGACAAGAATGAAGTCGTGGTTGGAGCAGAGGTACTCAGGGTCACAGGTCAGCTCATTCTTTTGTTCGTCGATTATTTGGCTCCATATATACATTCACTCTTAAAATTGTCCTTCTGTCTCTCGCTCTCTCTGTTTCAGACTGCTACTGGATGTTGTAAAACAGTTTCTGGAGAAATTATTGTCCCGCATCATAAGACAGACGTGACAAATTCTTTGTATTCTACATTTTCAGTTGATGCATAATTTTTTAAAACTATCCTTTATTTTTGTGTGGTTTGGAAAGCTTGGATTCCTAAAGCAACCCTTCAGCTCCGTCATGATTACGGTCACCTCTGATATGACGTCTAGTAGTTTCATAGATACGAATTAATGTCTGGGTGAAGCCTGATGTGTTTATCTTCAGGTTATACCCTACAACTGTAGACAGAAGTTTCCTCCGAAACGCTGATACATAGCCACGAAACTACACGGCATTACATACCAGATGATCGTCATATACTTACTGCCTGAAGTCTTTTAATTTCGTGTTCCTGTGCTTTTCAAGCCGAACACTGTGGCAGGGTGTTCTAAGGCATGAACCGTCTTCGATCCCTCGAACACTGGGATCGTGGGTTCGAATCCAACTCCAGACATAGAGATCTGTGTGTACGTAGCGGCGTTCGAACGGGCTGATCCCCCGACCGAGGAGTTCTATCGAATGTGTATAATTTAAGAAACTGAAAAGGCGGCCAATGTCCACAAGGGCTGTAGAGCCATAAATGGCAGGCAAGCAAGCAGATACATACTTCAAGTTTAGATCCGAAACTAGATTTAATATCTATTCATTGTCTCAGAGAAACACACACAGGTAGCTTCCCATTGTGTATCCAAATTATGCAGTTCATGCAAGTGACGCAAGTTTCTGCTGTTCGGACAGCACGTTCTTCCGTGCACATCTTTCCACTGATACTTCATGAAAGCCAAAGACTCAGATAACCCTTAAAAATGTGTTCTGTTGAGCTCTCCAAGTCGTGGATTTGCGTGCAGAACGCCTGTGGGAGTTTGTTTAGACTACACTCACGACAGAGCTGTCTGAAAATTTCCAGTATATTGGGAACAGTTTCTTTTGTAAGGTCTGAGACGAAATTACGTATATTCTAATAGATTTCCCAACCTAATTCTTGTTTTCACTCATATAGGATTCTCTTCTTCCTCGATTCTTAAGTGTGTTTTTCTGTATTAGGAGGAGAGGAACATCCCATGTCCTATCTAAACTCTCATTGATAATAATATACAAAATTTGGCGTATTCTTTGTATTGGTATAAAGCTTGATGTGGACTGATGATGTTTAGGAGAGTAATTTAATATAGGGGTTAGAAGTAACCAGACAGAGAAAACTGCATAACGAGTAGCTTCTTAATGCATCCTCTTCGTCAGACATTATTACGTATAATGGTCACATCAAGGACATAGGGATGTATAGGACACGCAGTGTGTTGGAGAAGGAAGAACATCTCAGTCTAGGAACCTGAGGAAGGGCTCACTTGGGTTATGTATATGTGGAGGTGAAATTTAAAAGTGTAAATTTATTCCTGAAGCACCACGCCATGAAGACGTATAAGGACATATGGGGGAGTTAATGTTCTTGCTTAACTTGGCACTAGGTACAGATGGGGGATCAGTTTCATCCACATCATCCCCAGCTACACATTTTATGGAAGGCTGGGTGGGCTCCAGAGACGGTCTGGGCACTGTGCAGAAGAGAAAATCCTCTTACCCCTCCCGGGAGTCGAATCTCTATTCCTCAGTCGCACAGACAATAGCCTAGACGCTATATTGACTGCGCTATGCCGGATTATATTAAAATAGAACCTAAAGATAGAGAAGGTGTATTGACTTCAAGTGGATCACGATGTGGTCTACTGGGGGGCTGTAGTCAATGAGGTAATGAAACTTTTGGCTTCATTAAATTGGCAGTAGATAGAGCTGAGCTATCAGCTGCACGCCCTAACAGTTCTGCCCCCTGAGCAACGGTCCGAGTTACTCACTAGCTACTGTGAGGCTTGGTGGACTCCAGTCTAGCAGCTGTGGAGAAGAGAGTCATCTCTTCCTGTACCATGGATCGAAACCCCCTTTAGTGTTACTACAGTATCAGTTAAGTCCTCACTAGTATGGAGGCCGGTAATTCGTAAGCGTCATAAAAATCATAACACCGTATACAGTTCTGAAGCAGTTGTATCCAGCACAGATGAATACGATATTACTCTACAAGATTTATTTTAATATTATCCTACATAATTACGGTTAGTTTTCTCAGATGATCTTGTCTAAAGAGAATTCTGAAACAAAAAAAATGTAAACAAATTTAATTTCATTGTGTTTGGCTATATCACATAAACCTGTTATTTTTAACATGACCACTTTAGATAGACTTGAAAGGATTCTGACGATGGTGTATACTGTACTTCTTTTGGCTTATTTTGGACTTCACCCATCGTCTGCTATGTAAAAGACAAAAGGACAAAAAACCACGACGTTTCGGAGACTGGATCTGTTTCCGTCTTCAAGAAACAGACGGAAACAGATACAGTCTCCAAAACGTCGTGGTTTTTTGTCTTTTTGTCTTTTACATACCAGACGATGGGTGAAGTCCAAAATAAGCCAAAAGAAGTACATGACCGCTTTAACAATATTAATAAAGAATAAATGTTAAGATGATCCTCGTTGTGTTGTTTTGTTTGTTTCTTTGTTATATCGTTTCTCCCAGCCATTTGTTCTAGCACACCTGTGCATGTTCTTCTTTGTTTCGTAATGTAAGCACACCCTATGTTGCCCAAGATTTCTGGTTCGATCCAATTTAATTGCTTGCAGGTGACGGTGGGGCCATTTTTGACGGCACAGTTCAGACTCCACTAGTGAGAGCCGATTCAGGAAACGAACTCAGGTCAGTAGTTCACATTGGCGTATTTAATATTTGAGTAGTTATATATTTATCTCCTGCTGAGCCACTAGGATGGCCGCATCGCGATGATACTGCTTGCAAAGCACCAAGACGCCCATTGATGTAATGGGAAGGGGACTTTTGTACTCTCATTTTAAATACTGTAGAAAAGATGATGAGAATTGTAAGTTTTATAAGGCGTTTAAACAGACTAAATAGCCTAGCAGAGAGGAGGAAGGAACTGGGGTAGAGAAAGAGGAAGAAGAATTCAGAATTCATATGAACAAAGTCGCTTTAGGACGAATGGTTACGTGATTGTTTGGCGCGCAAAAACAATTACAGCTGTTGAAGGAGGAAGAATTAGTATTCTCTTTAAATACTGTGTTTTACTCCATGACTTTGTGATTTTTAATCTGAATCTATGCTGCAGCGTCTTATAGTCTAATGGTCTGCTGCCGACATCTGGCGCGAAAAGCTGTCCTAATGCATCAATGTCTTTTTTTTTCCCCCCTCTTTCCTCGTCATAAAAAGAGATGCATTGCTGGCGGATTTAATAAGCGGAACAGATTGGCTGGAGCCGGGAAATGAGGGTGAAGGAAGCATGCCTATTAAACACTTGCGAAACTTCTCCTCCTCTCTAATGCAGCGTATCAGGCTCCCCCCCCGCC